TTTGAGACATGGTTTCTCTGTGTAGCTTTGCGCCTTTCCTGGGACTCACTTGGTAGCCTAGGCTGGCCTCGAACTCACAGAGATCTGCCTGGCTCTGCCTTCCGAGTGCTGGGATTAAAGGTGTACGCCACTACCGCCCGGCAATTGTTTGGCTTTTTGAGACAAGATTTCAACTGTGTTACTGTGTGGCCCAGGGCTGGCCCTGAATATTCAGTCTTTCCACATCAGCATCTTGAGTACCGAGATTATAGATGTGCCAACTGTTAACAAATTTGGGGTGGTCACAACTTGGGTACCAAGTCAGATCCAGCCACCCATTCCCAATTAAAAGAGCCAGATTGACAGTGGGAGGCAGACAAGGAGATTTACTCAGTGTAGCTGCATTGGGAAGAGGGACAAAGGCGCCCAGTGTCCACCCCCAAGTCAAAGTTCAGAGGGCCAAGGACGTCTACAGCTGAGCATCGGTCCTGCCGCCCCTGAGGCGCCATTGCTTGGGATTTAGTCTTAGCCTGTAAGATGATCCGACTTGTAAGAACTGTAACATCTCATTCTGGAGTAGGGCCTTTTCCTTCTCCCACCATGAGATTCCTGGGGGAATTCTCATTTCTTTGAAATCCATTGTTTCAAAGGCCTGATAGTCATATTGAATGACACAAGTAACTCTTGAGAATATCTTCACTTTTTCCACACCGGTTACACCACCATGCCCAGCTGTAATTTATTTATATATTTTAAATCAAAGTAATCCTTGTACATGGTAAATGAGAAGATGTACAGAAGGACTCCTCCATGGTATTTCTCACTGTCTTTAGTATCTGATGAGCTGTTCCCGCATCTCTCAGTAATGGACTCAACCCTGCTTCTTGATTTGACCACTTCAGACATTAGCTTCCGATGCCCTACCAAGATGGCGGGGTGGGGGGGTGGGGGTGGGGAGGGGTCTTTACCCCCATCCTCTGCACCTCTCATGCTGCGCTGTGTGATTTTGTGCCTATAGATTCCATAGTCATGTCTCCTGTCTTCAGCGGGTCTTCTTGTCCCCCTCAGGGCCTTCTCCGCTCTGTCCCTTTTCTCTTTTCTAATATGTCAGCTGTGCACTTACTGTGACATGATAACATGGCTGTGACATAGCCATTATGAAGTCATCTCTGCTAAAGATTCATAAAAACCAAAGACAATGTTTGAGAAACATGGCCTCGTAAGGAACTGAGAGGTTGCTTCAATGCCAGGACCCTGCGTTCCTCGGAGAACATTCTAGAGTCAAGAGTGGAACTCTCCACAGTGTGCTATTCCCATGGCTCAAAATCATGGCTCTTTTAAATTAACTTCGAATTTAAGTCCTTCTACTCCAGCAAATCCATGTTTAACACTTACCTCTAAATATTTAACTAGATTTGCATTGATGTGTAGGGTTTGTGTTCCTTTCTTGCCCGGTTTCTGTTTGCTCATAGTTAATAACACAGCACAGGCACACTGAGAACTTAACACCCAGGCACCACGCTGAACTCCGAGGAAGAGAAGCAGGACACAGGCCCTGCTGCCTAGGAGCTTCGGGACATGTCCTGTGAGGAGATGGAGAAGCGTACCCAACTGTGGCTGCGTTTTCTAGCAACCTCCCCGAAAGCCTGGAAGATTCAGATGTTGGGTGAGCAAAGACTGTAGTCTGGGGACTGTGATTAACCACAGGTTCCCTCTCTTCCTCCTGCTCCCTGTCCAGGACTTCAAGAAAACGAATCGAGCACACTGAAAAGCAGCTTGGTAACGGTGACTGACTGGAGTGACGATTTGGATGTGTAACAAGTCCGCGTCAGAGAACTGTTCCAGCAGCATTTCGGCCAGCAGCCTATTGGCTCCTAACGCTCCCTCCTGTTTCCCACCTACCAAGGAAGCCCATTCAGAGCAAGGGCGTCTCTAACAACTCGGAACACAGTACTGAAATCTGTCAGCTGGCCCACTGTGTAGAAACAGGATGTCCTTCAGTCATAAAAAGTGTTTTCTTCACAACGGTACTCTAGTGTTAAATGTATTTTTTTTTTCAACTAACTTTTAAGTGTTTTTTTTTTTTTTGACTGATAGTAGGCTTTAGTTTGAGTTATTGTAGCTTTTTAAAATACGTATGTACTGTCACATTGGTAGTTTTTATGTTATAAAATTCTGTTAAGTCTCTTCAAAACTGAATTAGTGATGTCAGTGACTTTGGTTGTTTTCCATCTAGAAATAAGTCTAGACCGGTGACAATTAGCTAGGCCATGATAAACGCATTCTCCTCAAGTTCCTCTGTCCCACTGAGCTGTGAGGCCCTGTTAGCATGTCGTTACTGACCAGTTCTTTTGTGCACTGTAGTCTTTAGCTTGGATATTTTATGAATAATGTGCAACTGTTCTAAATGCCAATTGATTTTTATGAGATGATCATTAGAAAAAGATGAGCCATTCCCGAGTCACACATGTGTGTAGTTCCTCTGTTTTTCAGTACTCAGCCCATTATAAAATACCTCAGAACTAATTTATATTCTTGAACAATGATCTCGGCAATGATCAGAAAATTTATATATAAACTGTTCGTTTTTCCGTTTCTTTTTAAATTTTTTTCCCTTTTTTTAAAAAGTAGTTTTTATACTTTGTGGTACTATTAGGACTCTATCTCAAAAAAAGAAAAGGTAACATTTTAATAGCTTGTGATTTGGGGTCTCCTGTCATCCGTCAACAATGCCAGTAAAGTCCTCCATTACACCCTGTGAGTGTGCCTGGTCATTAGAGATGACGTCTTGGCTAAGTTTATGAAGGGGCTTACACAAAGCCATGGCTTCTAACACCCTGATCTTGGAATAAATCTCCATGGCTACACTGGCTACCATCCCGAAACCTATGTGTACCCATTCCAAACCATGAACAAAAATCCTTCCACCTTCCCACAGGGGCCACTGTGTGCAAATATAGGCTCACTTTGTACGTAGGCTTCTAAGACTTAGTGAGGGACAGTCAGACTACGATGTGTGGACAGAGATAAACACCTTACACATCACTCACTTCCTCAGCAGATTTTTATGGAGCCACGTGGTATTTTTGTTTTGTTTGTTTGTTTGTTTGTTTTTTATTTTGTTTTTCTCAACTATGTAGCTGCAGCTGACTAGGAACTCAACCTGTTATAGACCAGCCTGGCCTTGAATTAAGAGATCCACCTGCCTCTCCCTCCCAAGTGCTGAGATTAAAGGTGTGCGCCACCACGCCCTGGCTGAGCCATCTGGCTTCCCTTCCGTTCTGGGTGTGACTCAGGTCTTCCTTCCTTAGAATTTTGAGATGTGCTCTTTGTGTACTCATGAAGACATTAGGAATCAAGAGTTAAGTCTCTGGCCGAAGGATGTACAACCAGAACGTAACAAAAGCCAGCTTTACAGTAAGCCTGCTTCAGGTCCTGTGCACGGTTTCATGTCCGGGACTGGGGAAGGGTCATGATCCTCTGCTTAAACCCAGCGGATGAATGAAGTTGGTGTATGTGCATCACAAAGCTCAGCCCTTTAGCTTACCTGTTTGGTTTGCTCCTCTCCCCATTCTGTTTGATCTATTCCTTCTTCTGTAGACAGACCGTCGATGACCCCTCCCTGATCCCATCCGTACCTTCATCCCCGGCTCTCCCTATTAGCTGACTGCTGTCTTCACCAGTTCAGTTGAAGAAAAAACAGTCATTTTAAATGTTTGCCTACACAATGCTATTTCCACACTGGTCTGCGGTACTTAAGCCACCTTTATTTAAAAAAAAAAAAAAATCAAGTATTAACAAGGTATGGCATTTTTAAATTTTTAATTATATTTTTAAGAACATTTTTTAAATTTATTTTCTTTCCATTGAGTACCTGCAAACAGGTATTTTTCATTTTCAGCCATTCACTCTTGGGGAAAGTCATGTAGTCACCCATGTGATTCGTCCTGGACAATTTCTAGCACTTGCCACAGGTGCCGATTCTTACAACTGATACTGTATATATTTTACCCTAGACCGTCCCAGCTTATGTCTGGACCCCGTCACTAAAGGGCTCATTACACAACTCTCCACGTTCTTCGTTGTACATACAGGAAAGTCCCTACCTACCAACAGGGGCATGGTGAGAATGAGTGAGCTGGGCACAGAGTTGTGTGGTAGTGGAGACATTTACTGCCTCTGTGGGAGAGTGATGTGCAGGGCCAGCCTCAGGAATAAATCTGCATCTTTGTTCAGAAGTCACCGGATCAAGTTCCATGTCTTGAAAAATGGCCAGTGTCGCAGTGACCTGGAAAGTTCTATGCGCAGGCCAGTGAGACACCCAGGAAACGCAGCAGTGGGCCCCAGAACTTCCTTAGCTGGCTTTGGAATCAGTCACCGCCTTTGCCCGGCTCACCTGATGGTAATGGGCGTTCTGAGTCAGACAAACCTGTGTGGCTTATGATCCACACACAGGGCCATGACACCTTTTTCTTGAGCCATCACCGTGGAGGGGCAGTCCTGTCAGGCAGGTCTAAGAAACTAGACGGCCACTCCACATGGCAGGTAACAATGGGACCGTTTAACCTGCACACCCGGTGAGGAATAGTCTCACTACCCCCGTTCCCATCCACAAGACCTCATTGCCTACACACTTCTGTCTAACAGCTGGATGAAATGAGGGGAGTTCTCAGCGTACTGAAGACCAACGTGACTGTCACCCCAACATTTCCTGAGCCTTTGAACTAAGCGTCCACGTGTTCTATGTGTATAAAATATACAGATCCTGTAAATAACCTGTTTATTTTCCTTATAGGAAGGCACAACAGAAAGTGATTAGTATACAACTATAAGAACATTTACATCCGTCCAATCAACAGTCTTCAAATTCATATTTTAAAAAAACAAGCGGAAGCGGTAGTTACAGAAGGCCGTGGAAGGGTCATCGTGTGAACAGTTCGCTTTCACAGCTCACTCGAGACACAGCTTGCCAGGAGCTCTCTTAGACATAAGCATTTTTATCAAACTGTTTGGAAGGGCTTGCGGTTTTAAAATCTCCTTCTCCACCGGGATACTTGGTCCGAGAAGACATGACAGACGTGGGGCCATTGTATGTGTAGCCCATTCTGGAAGGTAAAACACACTTGGGTTGATTCCGTTGTACACGCAGGGCAAAGGAGAAACGGACGGAACCATTGTTGTCAGTGGCTAAGAGCTAACTCCTCCTCCATTAGCGCTCATCCCTCTTCTGTCCACACAGCCTGCGTGGTGAAAGACTCTGTAGAGGGAACTCATTATTGGCTCTAATATTCTTTCTCAAAACTAGTTTCTAATGCTCGTTTTCCTGAAACTGGATTCCTGCCTGTGTGAAAATCACAGTAAAGTCGACATGAAAAACATGCCTTTACCCTTGGGCTCGGCCTCCCAGTAACAGAAATAGCTTTAGAACACAGCAGTGAGATCTTTCAAAATAATAATTGTCCCTAGCCCTTTTCCATTGTTACTTCCAATTTCTAAGAGTCACACGAACTGTGTGTAACTGGTCCCGTGTGTAATGATTTGGAATAATAGAGTGCGGTGGGTTGAGACCCCTTTCTTGGGCAAACCTCTGTCTCCAAAATATTTACATTATGATTCATAAACAGCCAAATTACAGTTAGGAAGTAGCAACGAAATAATTTTAAGGTTGGGGGTCCCCACAGCATGAGGCACCGTGTTAAAGGGAGGCAGTCTCAGGAAGGCTGAGAGCCACAGGTAGAGCGCTTTTTCCAACAGGGTTTTTGTCTCTTTCCTACCTGGGTGTTTTGTTGTTGTCAGATATTGAAAAGCAAAATATGACGCCGCCAATGATGCAGAGAGAGGCTCCTGCCCATCCGATAAAGAGAGCCGCTCCCAGTTCATACCTGTGAGAAAAGGACGACATGGGCGTTAACCAGCTCACCCGGGCCGCGTGGCCCTGCTGACCCAGGGTTACTAAATGCTCACACTTTCTTTCTGCACACTTTTAAGGGAAGTAGTAACATGTTTGTGTCAGCGCTTTGAACTCTTCTCAAAGTGTTTTTAGCCTCTCTAACTTCCTGACAGGAAGCAAGGGCCGGGCCAGGTCAAAGACGGGGTCACCTGACTGACTCATGAGCACTTTTCTTCCGTTCTCTGCCCTCACTTTCCAAACTTTCCATTCATTTCTTTTGTTCCACGGGCCAAATTGTTTAGATACTCTGCAGTTAGGAAAAGGAAGTCTCCCTCCATGTCTGTTCCAGTTAGTTCAGTGTATGTCAGATACCTGCTGTGTGTGCAGATAAATGAAGGTGCAAGATGTCTGTGCAAAAGGGCAAGGGACAGATAGGAGCATCATCACTACGGTCTAGTGGGAACATTTAGAGGTAACCAGTGACCAAGCTTCTAGATGGCAGGCCACAGTACTCCCTAGATGGCCAAAGTGAATGCAGACATGAGTGAGACAGGCCTTTCCCCAGATGAAAAGGCCTTTGAAAATGAAGTCACTTGTTAGACAGCTAGAAGAAACCCTTTCAGGTGAGTAACAGTCATAGCCCCCACCCCCACCCCCAAAGGAATGAGGATTGTAAAACCTCAGGGGCTTTCTCTCTTCCTGCAGAATTGTTTTCTTCTGTGAAAAGGCATCTCACTTTTGACACACACACACACACACACACACACACACACACACACACACACACACACATACACACTGCAAGACTGGAAAAAAGGTCTACTGGTGCGTTTCAGTATACAATGAACCCAGAGTGTGTTTTGGTCTCACAGATCCATGCAGAGATAATCTCAGGAGATTCCAAGGTCAAGAGAAGACAGGGTTCCAGATTACCACTTGCTCCTGACACGGACAAGACATAAAGTGAGAGAGCCTGCCTTTGGCTTGGTGTGGAGGCCACACAGGTGTGGGGAGCAGCTGGCAGGAGCTGTGGGGGGGGGATCTCTGCACCCTGACACCCCAACATAGGCTTTCCTTGGTGGTCTGTGTAGTGGGGTCTGGACCACTAGCAGGTAGGAAATGATGCTGACAAAGCATCAGGGACTTTCTCCCCCCCCCCCCCCATCTGGGATGGAGTTAAGCATACTTTGTCATGTGATCCTTTCTCCTCTATTGTGCTTACATCCTTGGGAAATCAGGGGACAGATTGTGGCAAGGAACAGCTGTGATGGAACAGGAAGGGGGTTAACCCTTCATCTGCTTCGGGAAGCCCACAGACCTCGAGGCTTCCGGAGTGGCAATGGCAGAAACAGAAAGTGTCAATGGAGAAGAGCACAGCTGTTCGTGTGCACACATGCACCAGAGGACCAAGAGTGAAGTGCACATCAGAGAGGAGAGATGGCCAGATGGGGAGCAATGGCGGCGAGGGGACGTGGCATTCCTGAGAAAAGAAACTGATAAATCTTCATGCTGCACATCTGAACATTTCACGGCCCAGATCCTCAGGTGTGCCCCCTTTTCTATTGTCTTCATGAGACTATACACATAAAAGATGCAGAGATGTGCCTCCTGGCAGGTGCATGGCATTTGACCCCTTTGAACTCCTGAGGTCCTGGAATGAACTGGCTTCAGATCCTTCCAGACAGCACAGAGGAAGGGGCCGGCTCAGGACAACACTTTCCGTGGAGGCCATTCCCACAGGAAACCAAACCTTGTCACCATCTTTCTCTATCCTCGGAGGTCATCTCTCCTTCAACTGCATAGTGGACGTGCACCCTCAAAGAGTCCCCCGGGGGCCTCCTTTCAGTCATGGGTTTTACACCTGCCTC